GGGCTGATTCAGCTGCTGTTTACTCATGTCTCCAAATAACAGCTTCTGTTGCTGCTTCCTGACTTTTCACTTTTGGGGCTTCTTTCTGACCACAGTGTATTAAAACAGTCTGTGTATCTGTTTTTCCTACCAGCCTCAGGGCCTTCTGATGGCTCAGATGTTAAATTTCTTTATAGCCCCAACACCTGGTGGGGCTCTGTCAAGATTCAGTAAGTGATGAATGTGAATGAGTGTGTATATGATTATGTGAATGAATAAGATCACCTTGTCTTGGACTCTGGTCTTCAGTGGTGCAGTTTCAGGCATGTATTCCTTAGCACACTGAGGTGACAAGCATCACAAAGGCTGTTTCCCCATAATCAGTCCCATAGTCAATGTACTGCTGGATACCAGCATATTGTAAATTGAGATCCATAAGAATTGATGATTTTAGCAAATGCCCTACAAATTTGTGGGATGTTTTATAACATTCCTGATTTCTTTTATAATTCTTAAGTAAACCTTTTCATTAACTGAAATGATTCTGGACCTGGCTGAGTAGTTTCCTGTTTTAGAGTAACGGGTCAGAACAGTTCTCTTTCTTTCCATCATTGAATACATCAGTGTCTTACTTCATGCAGTCTTCCAACTATTGTACCTGTTTCTTCTTTAGGCCAGCATTGAAACAGGGGATCGTGTCTGGAGGATGCCTCTCTTTGAACATTATACAAAACAAGTTTTAGATTGCCAACTTGCTGATGTTAATAATATTGGAAAATATAGGTATGTAAAAGGAGCTATAAAAGTACATTTTTACAGTCATTGGTTACCAAAATGACTTTAAATTTTATGCCCTTTCACAGAAAGTGTAGCCAATTTCCTTTTGATACAGTGCTCATAAGTACTAATTTCGAACATCTTTAATTTTCAAGGTATTTTACATCTGGTGCTCAAAATTTTGCTTGTTTTCACAGCTGAGTCATTTTAAAAATATCGTAAGGGAAAGAGATGAAAAACAGGTGAATTCATTACCATGGGGAAGAGGAATCTAGAATTTATCCTTTATTGCTTAAAGCTATGTCTGAAAATAAATATTCCAAAAGTGGTTTTTGGGTTACGTTTTAATCTCATAAACTTGACTTTTGCTCTCTGGTCATAGAAGCTACTTAGCAAGAATAGAGGATCTTAATGAAATGTTCATTGCACATTTACATGGGGTTAAAAAATGATTTTTGTCTTTCTCTTCAGGTCTGCAGGAGCATGTACAGCTGCAGCGTTCCTGAAAGAATTTGTGACTCATCCTAAGTGGGCACATTTAGATATAGCAGGTGTGATGACCAACAAAGATGAGGTTCCATATCTGCGGAAGGGCATGACTGGGAGGCCCACAAGGACCCTGATAGAGTTCTTGATTCAGTTCAGTCAAAACAATGCTTAGTTCAGATCCTCTAAAATTCTTTCATTCTGTCTTAAATGGGCAGTTGAACCTCAAAATATTTTTGAATGAATGGATGAAAATATTTCAAAGGAAACAAAGGGTGGTATTTAAAAATGTAGAACAAAAGAAAATTTGATTGCCTTGAGTTGTTCATTTTATGTAGAGATTTATAAAGGTAAAGCTAATCTCTTGCTTGGCAAAGATTTTTAAGATATTCTATAAATGATCAAATGTTTAAAAACTACCTAGTTAATTTTCAGAGTATATGTTTTTAATTGAGGAGCAAAGTTGTCTTTTAGAGTTGTGATGCGAGGAATAAATTAAAGGTTACTATGCAATTGGCAGAAATAATAAACCAACTTTTTGTGCTTTCTGGTGTGGCTCTGGTATTCTCTATTACTGTACATTTAGTAATAGCATAACTTGTCTCTTTTGGCTGTGTTAACGTGAACTAAGTAAGATGGTACAGTATTTTCTCAATGTTAATAATCACTTTAGGGCACTCAGTGATGAGTTTATCAGTTGGTGAGGTAGGTGCTGTTATCCCCATGTTAACAGATGAGGAAAATAGGCACCAGAGAGGGTTAAGAACATGTCAACAATGTCACCAAGCTACTAAGTGGGAGAGCAGAGATTTAAACAGGAGCGAGCCTGCCTCCAGAGCTGGCTTCTTAATTGTTACACTGTAATGCTTTCTGTCAGTTCAGTGACTTGAGTGGATGTGGAATATATTTGAGTTAATGAACAAGACCAATAAAAGAGACTGTTCACGGGTGAAGTATTTGCTTACCATCTGGGACTACAACCAATCAACAAAATTCTACTTATGCAGATTTAGGACAAAGCTCTCCTCTTTTTTTCTTTTGTATCTAGGTAAACAAATTACCCATGAATTGGATCTATCTATACTTTTTTCTTTTTTTAGGACTGAACATTTGACAAGAAACTTGTTTATTGGAGTTATTTTTAATATTTTATTTTTTAAAGGTTTATTTATTTTACACCTGATCTTAGCCAAAAGGCCGAGAAGTGATAAAAGGTTTATTTATTTTAGAGAGAGAGTGTGCAGGGGGCAGGGGCAGAGGGACGGAGAGAGAATCTCAATCTCAAGCAGACTCCCCGCTGAGCATGGAGCCCGATGCAGGGCTCAATCTCACAACCCTGATATCATGACCTGAGACGAAATCAAGAATTGCTCGCCTAACCGACTAAGCTACCCAGGCACCCCTATTTTTAATATTTTAAAAATTTGACATATAAGAGGATGTTATGTATCTCAATTGGTTTATAGGGAGGGAATGGATATGGGCATGCATATTTGTGTTATTTGTTAGAATTAAAGAAAATCAGGCAGGAATAGTGAGTAAACAGGTTCCTCTGGGTATCCATGTCCAGAAGCTCCTTTGTCAGGGAAGATGGAAAGGTGGAACCACTGGCTTGTGAAGAGAAACTGGAATTAGATTTCTTCTCAGTGACTCAGAAGGCAAAGCAGGGATTTGATAGAAAGCTTTCTATCAAACACTTTTTAAAAACAGGGACAACAGAACTGTGTTTACCAGAGTGTGGGATCCAAAAGGCATGACTTAGGCCTGGATTCATGTGCTTATCTAATCTGACTGAGATGAAATTTAGTTGTCATTGCAGGTACATTTGGCTGCCAGGTATTACACAAACCCTTGACTGATCTCAACCATGCTCAGAGGCAGGGGGTATTACCCATGTCTATCGTGAGGACCAGGCATGGCTATGGCAAGTACCAAATCCAAAACAGTAGTGGTTCAGAATACAATAGTGTTAAGAGGTAGCTGAAGTAGAGAAACCAAAACTGAAGCAGCCCCATTGGGGTCATCAGAAATCCAGGCTGGGGAATGTATATCACCACCCAGCCTCAAGGCTCTCTTGCAGTCCCAGATGGCCACGGGGGTTGAAGACTACATGAGGGTGAAAAGCATTAGTCTTCTATTTTTGCAAACAAGTCAAGTGATTCCAATTCTTCTGACTTTTTTTTTTTGGTTTTATAAAAGATAAATATTAAAATATTGATGCTAACTAACTGGCTTATTTTTAAATACACGTATTTTTAAATTCTCAGTTTTAATACATATTTTACCTATTCCAAGTTTTAATTGAATAAATACTGACACAACCCATACATGTTTGTAGTACAAAAATGTTTGTAGCACTCGGTAATATTTTAGGAATGTAAAGGGGTCCTAAGACCCAAAACAGTTTGAGAACTGCTGGAGTCCACTAGTTCCCTTATGCATTATATTTTTGTGTAACAATTATGCCTGGCAGTTTGGGTGTCGAGAATGCAGGTGAATAAGACAGGCAGGCCCTGATCTCATGGAGCCTGCATTCCTGTTGGTGCATGTGTGTCAGGTGACTTTGTCAAGGAAGGCAAATGAACAAGGTAATTTCATGTAATACTTAAGTGCTGTAAAGAAAATTAAACAGGGTGAAGCGGCTGGGAGTGTGGAGCTAGTATGGATTGACGCGGGGAAGATGAGTTGTGATCTGAGACCTGATGGGCAAAGGGGAGCCTCTTTTTCTGGCTACTTCTGCTCTGCCTTCCTCACTCCATCCCTACTGGCTTTTCTGTGGTTCCTTGAATATGCTAGGCTGGTTCCTTCTTCAACACCCCCCCCCCCCCCCCCCCCCCCCGTCTAGAAAAGTTTTCTGGTTACATTTTCATTCCAGTCACTCTAGCGCAGATCTCTTTGAGAGGACTTCAGCTACCCACTCAAATCCATCACTAGCCATCGCCTTACCGGGTTTCATTTTTCTTCTTAGCACTTACCTCTACTACATATTGCTATATATATGTGTGTGTGTGTGTCTCCCACAAAAACAGTAAACATGACAACAGAGACTTGGGGTAACTGTTAAAACCCCAGATTAAATAGAACCTAGGACACGGAAGTCTCAATCAATGTGCTGGATAACTTTAAAATTAAATATAATGAGAAAAGAAACCTTAGCTTCTGAAAAGATACATAAATGCTAAAAGGAAGTTACTTAAAGACCGCATAGTGGCTTTAATGCAACCCTAAATATCCAAGGCGAATAGTGCCAGGCACACAGACAGGGAGGCTTAACGTTAGTGTTTTTGCTACCCGCCTCTCCGCACAGACAACTTAAGGGTAGCTTTGCCAGTTTGTTCTCGTTATATCCACAGTGACTAGTCACTGGTGCGCAGAAAGCGCTCAATAACCGTGGAATGAACGGGTGCCTCCCTCCTACCGACGGTTAACCTGAGCCGGGAGAGAGAAAGCCTTGGCCAAAATCACTCCAAATCTTGAAGGCAAAGGCGGGACTTGCACAGGAGTATCCCGACTCCCGGGGAAGGGCTAGCTCCACCGTAGTTACTGATTCTCCACTCCCCCACCACAGCGTCAAATCCTGTCAAAGCCTTTAATGCTTAAGTTAGGAAAATACAAAGAAAAGCCTGGCCGCCTACCGGCAGCAAAGGCACAAAACGAGGCTGTCAAACCCGCGATTTCCCTGGAGCCCAATGGACGCCTGCGGCGGCCCGCGATGTCACATGACCAGGCGTGCTACGGGAGCCGCGCGCGCCAGCTCCTGCGCAGCCGCAGCGGGCCGCTTGCGCGCCTTTCCAGAAATGGCGGCTCCGCTGGGTGGTATGTTCTCTGGGCAGCCACCTGGACACCCCGGGGACTCCAGGGGCCAAGCTTCGCTTCTTCAGGCCGCGCCAGGCCCTCCGAGAACTTCTAACAGTACCTTGGTGGACGAGTTGGAGTCATCATTTGAGGTAAGATGAGACTGGGCGTCTGTGTTCCCAGACTGCCTTCTTTCCTGAAACGTAAGCTGCGCCTGGGCAGCTGTCTCTTTCAGCGATGCCCACCATCAGGCTTACAAATAGGGGAACAGGCTCAGAGAACGGAAGTCACTTGCTTTAGTCTCCACGTTGAGTGGTGGCCGGAATTCTGTTCAGGTTTGCTGGCGGAGACGTAAACTTTGTTTCTGGAAGAACGTGGACTTGAAGTTGGTCCATCCCTAGTCTCAGGACCCTTCGAGGTTCCTAGTCGGTTGTTTCCGTTCCATCCTTTTTTGGGCCCATCCCCGAGCGCTCTTCCCCGCATTCCTGCGTGTTTAATACTGGTTCGTCTGCGACGGGTAACGTCACACTATGTCCTGTATCCTTTCCGCTGGGCTCCACCCTTAGATGGCCCCAAACTAATGAACTCTTGGAGATGAAATGGACTTATGTGAAAGTTACTGTGTGAAACTTGGTACCAGGAGGGGGGAAGAAGGAAAGCTGGAGGGAGCAAGGGAGGCAGGGATGACCCATACTCTGAGTTCCACCCAAGAAGTTAACCCCTCTAGCAAGGAAAATGGGGAGTGGTAGTAGACAAAGGAGAGGTAAAAATATGTGCTTAAAAATAAGATGGCTTTCAGTGGTCTCTAGAGTGGAAGATGAGCCATTATTGTGGGGAAATAAAATAACATAATTGCAGCTACCTTTTCCACATTTTAAGTCATGTGAATTTTATACTGTGTACAGTAGCAGAGTAGAGCGTGAATATAGTTTGTAAATCAGTGTGTTATTGGGGCTGCATGGGAAAATGCATTTCTTGGGGAGTGTGCATTCGAAAACTTGGAGATAACTGATTTAGAGGACATCAAAATTTACCGGGGAGGAGGATGGGCCGCCTTTGCAGTGGTGCCAAGCCATAAAGGAGAGGGTTTGCTAGGCTTTAGAGCAGCATTTAGCATTGAGGTGAGGTGGCTGTCAGTCATGAGTGCTTGCTGAAAGACTGGCCCTGTAGAAGTCTTGGCCAGAGCCAACACCAGCGCCCTAATGCTTAAAACCCTTTAGTGGCTACCTGTCACTCTTGAGACAGAGCCAGAAGGTTTATGTGGTATTCCTAGCTCTGTGTATTTGGCTCTCTGCTCCATTGCAATTTCCTTTTACTCTGGCCACAGAAGACTTTTTCTCCACGTGCTGTTTGTTTTCTCTCTGGGTTTCCGTCCCCTCCCCCAACTTGTGCATCATTTCCTTAGTGTATCCGCCCCTGGTGCCTTTTGTAGGACTTACCACCAAACCAGGCCCCTGAAGTCAGAGGCCATCTCTCCCTCATTCCCCCATCAGTGCTAATACAGTGGTAGCAGATAGCAAGTGCTTGACGAATATTTGTCGAACAGTGAAGGAGCCCGTTGTGTGTCAGTCCCTGTCTTCGGTGCTAAGAATACAGAGAAAACAGTCCTTGCCCTCAAGGAATTCATGACAGTGGGGTAGAAGAAACAGATAAATAGCAGGCAGTTGCTGTGTTGTGTGATCACTGCTGTGGTAGAAGAAAACCCAGGGAACTCTGGGAGCACACATGAGCCTGGCTGCCAGAGGTGCTTCCCAGAGAATACGCAACCCAAAAGGGCGTTTGGACAAAGCCAAGTGAAAAGGAGAGAGAGTTGCTACCTGGCCCTCCCTCTGCTGCTTCATGATCACCCATCTAGTCTTCTCAAGACTCATCTCAAAGGCCACATTTTAATTTCCCTGTGGTCTGTGTGGGCTTCTATTCCAGAGCCTCCAGCGGCCTGTGGCACCTGCCTGCCCACTTTTCATTTCATATTCTATTTAAAGTGTGCTGTCACTTTGAGGCCTCTGGCTTTCTCATTCTAGTTGCTCAGTAAATGCTCTTTAATGGAATGAGTTTATTGAGATCATGCCCTCTTGTGGGAGGGAACCGTGGAGACCATCCTCTCCTTTTACGGATGGAGAAACTGAGGCTCAGAGGAGAAATTACTTGCCCAAAGCCAGACCCTCAGTTTATGCAAATGAGGACTAGGACTTGGGCCTCCCTACTGTTCAGTCAAAGGTTCCATCCTACGCATACTTCTAAAAAAGCATATTCTTTTTATAGACCACCACACATTTTCTTCTCCATACAACTGCCCAACTATCTATAAAGACCTGTGTGTGTAATATCCTTTTTTTTAGAGGTAAGAGGGAACTAAAATTCCTGAGCTCAGATTTCCTCTCACTGGGTCTGATGGCCCTGCTCTCTGGGGGGGAGCAGCTCCACCTTTGTTGATTGGTTTGCCTGGTTGGCCTCCTGGGCAACCAGGCAAAACCTCCTGGGTTTTCCAGTACCCACAGTTTTCACAGAGCAGGTATGCCCTATTCATATCCTAGGTCCAACAGGAGTCGTCTTTTCAAGTAATACACAGAATGGGCAGTTTGTTTTTTCTGATTTCTTGAGCTGTTACAGGGATTCCCCAGGAGGAGTCCTGTGATTTTTCTGTATAAATCAGATGGGGGAAACTGCTAGCAGCAGAATTTATTGCTTCCCAAAGGGCCCTCACATCTGGTTGATGGCCTAAATTTGGGCTCAGATATGCCTACCTCACACCAAGTGTAGTTTACTTACTGCTGGTGAGGCTCTGCTTTCCTGAGGTTTGAGGCTTCCTTTCTGATCACTGCTCCCCTCTCCAGCTCCCATCCCATTCTCTTTTTGACCCCACTGCCCAGTGATAGGCCTTCTTTGTGCGTTTCCTGTGCACAGAACTCCATTGCTGAATTACATATTCATCTAGATCGGTGCTCCTTTAGAGAAACTCTCTCTTTGGGCCTTGTTTATCCATGTGACAGCAAGCTTGTTCCCTTAGGTTGTCCTGTCAGTCATTAACATATTTAGTGAGCCAAGCAGTGCCAAGCAGTCTTCTTGCACTAGGAGTGTAGTGAACAAGACATGCAAAATTCCCACCTGCTGGTAAGAACCAACTAAAAATGGACTAAAAGAGTGAAAAGAATGGAATGATGTCAGTTAACTGTGTGAAAAACAGTAAAGCTGGGCTTGAGGATAATGAGCAGGAGGGGTGCCATTTCAGGAGTAGAGAGAGATGGCCTCTCTGAGGAGGTGATGATTTTCCCGAGTCGTGACACAGTGGTAATACAGTTCATGTAAGCATCAGAGGGAGGGGCTATAAGTGGGGCTGGAACAGGGGCCCAGGCTCTGGTGTGGAATGGGACCGTGAGGAAAGGGGTGAGTGGCAGGAGTCGGGACTAGGTGGTGGTGCTTGCATATACCAGCAGCCTCATTTGCAGGCTCTCCCTTGGAGGGTCTCATGGATTCAGTGTACCAAGTCCCTTCATTAGCAGGAGGATATCTTGTCAGCTGATGTGCAAACCCAGACTCTATAAACTAATTGAATGACTTCAAGAGAAGTTATTTCTTACTCTGACGTAAGATTTTTGACATGTGAATGACATGTTTTTTCTTACATATTTGGGTCACACAGGCTTGCTTTGCTTCTCTTGTGAGTCAGGACTACGTCAATGGCACAGATCAGGAAGAAATTAGAACTGGTAAGAATTTACTCTTTGTAGATTATGTTCTTACCTTCAGCAAGATTCCTAATTGCTGAATTTATACTCGACGTGTTTCAGTTCTATTTGTATCCTAAGAGAACTTTTCCAGAGAATAAGATTTATGCAGTCATTTCTATATACTACTGGTTCTTTGTTCAGTTTATTAATTGACATGTCCCTCATAATGAACCACTTAAAATGAGCTTTCCATTTTGGTATAGGACAGTGACAACCAACAATGCATACTGCTTTTTTCAAAAAAGTTAAGTTTCGATTATTTTTTGAAGGTGTTACCTAGAAAAGTCTCTTGTGCTTCCCTGACTTCACCCAAGTTCTGTCCCCGGAGGCAGCCAGTGTTTCTGACTTTTTTGTGCTATATTTTACATGTTACATTTTAACTGGAAGTCATGATGCTAATTGCTGGATCTCTGGATGGATTGTCTCTCTTCAGAAGAACTTGTATGTTGTAATGAGGTATCATTCACCTCATAAAAGCACAAATTATGTGCCATTTAATGTTGGTTACATGGGGGTTGGGGGTCCGTATCACTGCTGTGACCAGAATTAAAATTCCAGATTACATCTGTGGGAAGATGCCGTTTTGATATTTTGACTGTTCATTTATGAGGGAGATATATATATATCTAGTGTTTTTCTTAATATTTTGGTCTTTTTTTAATAAGGTGTCGATCAGTGTATCCAGAAATTTCTGGATATTGCGAGACAGACGGAATGTTTTTTTCTACAAAAAAGATTGCAGTTATCTGTCCAGAAACCAGAGCAAGTTATCAAAGAGGTATGAACTCACATTTCTCCTCAGCTTTTAGGAAGAGCATATGTTGTCAGGATTCCATGTGTGCTTTAAATGAGATACATCCTTTTCCCACGAGTTACAGTAGGGCTTTATAGATTGAATACAAATGTTGCTAGTTGTCAGTGTTGATGACAAGCTGGGCAGGTAGTGGAGCCAGGGGTCAGGGCGGGGCGGGAAGATGGGCTTCAAACAGAGCAGTTTCATTTGCTGGCTTTCAGGGAAGACTTTTCTTACAGGAAAGCCTCTGCTGCTTGAAAAAGGTGGAGAAGCCATTAATGTAGACGACAAGCTCAGTTTGGACAGAAATTGTGAGCTGTGTATATCCCCCGGCTGCCTTAGACACAGGAAGGGCTCAAGTTTTGTTCAAGGAATCAAAAATTAAATGTTCTCTCCAGGTTCCTTGAGACTCAGGATTTCATTTATCTCAGTTGTTTGAAACTGGGGCATTTGGAAATGTGCTGAGGTTGCCACAACGACTAGAAAGCTTTATTGGCATTCAGTTTGTTGGGCCAAAGCCTGCCAAGTGCATTGTGGAAGGGAGAAGAATCATCTTGCCCAAGAGACCTGTGATGCCCCTAATGAGAAACACTAAATGGAAATGATTGTTTTTGGTACCTTTTGAAGTAACTACTCCCAATTAATTGAAAACATTCTTTTTATTCATTGATATCAGCTGTTGAGAACGTGAAGGGTAAGATGATATTTTACAGTTTATTATGTCAGATCATACCACGTCAGAACACTTGAGTAAGAACATAGGTGTGTTCAAGGCCAGGCCTTAATAAAGAATTATAATGCTGGTATTCATTTAAAAAGCTCTTGGAGGGGCCCCTGGGTGGCTCAGATGGTTAAGCGTCTGCCTTCGGCTCAGGTCATGATCCCGGGGTCCTGGGGTTGAGCCCCACATCGGGCTCCTGGCTCAGCAGGGAGCCTGCTTCTCCCTCTCCCTCTCCCTCTGCCTCTATCCCTGCTCATGCTTTCTCTTCTCTCTCTCTCTCTGTGTGTCTCAAATGAATAAATAAAATCCTTAAAAAAATTAAATAAAAAGTTCTTGAATATGAGATTTTAACACTTCATCCTGAACTGATAGAACAGTGGTTTTGGACTCTTTTTAAACAGTGGTTAGCATATATTTGATTCTCAAGTGTTTTAGATTCTTAGCAGTAGCCTTTGGACGGAGGGACTGGGTGGCTGGGGTCCCGGATGGGAAAGAGACTGATTTTCTTTGGCTGCCCTTTGGTACTTTAGAATATTGGAACATCTGTATTACTTATTAAAAGAAAATGAAAAATAAAAACTCCCAGTGTTAGGCATCTTCCATTGGAGGAATTGCTGTGGGTTGTTCAGATAGTGGAGCCAAGCAGGGCAATGGGCATACAATGGTTTAATTGATTCTCTTGTTTTGAATTTACTTCTTAAAGCTCTGACCAAATCAGAAACTATTTTCACTTTTCATGAGCTTGCTCTTACTTCGTTGTCCTCATTTACAGGATGTCTCAGAACTAAGGAATGAATTACAGCGGAAAGATGCTCTGGTCCAGAAGCACTTGACAAAACTGAGACATTGGCAGCAGGTGCTAGAAGACATCAACGTCCAGCACAAAAAGCCAGCCGAAATCCCTCAGGGCTCCTTGGCCTACCTCGAGCAGGCATCTGCTAATATCCCTGCACCAATGAAGCAAACCTGAGTCAGAGCTGGCCTGAAGGTGATCTGGTGTGTGAGTCAGTCTGAACACGGTTTTGACAAACATCTCTTCTTGTGGACATGACATTTTGTAAGAACTCTTTGCCAAAGAATGAGATGATTTTTGTTGATGATCTCACCTAAAATTTTCCCCTTATTTTTATAAGCGTTATTTCTTGAGTACTTTAAAAATGCCTGTATAGTTTTGGTAAATGAAGTAAATTTTCCTGTCTTTAGCAAAGTTTAGACTGGTAGTGTGATGCCACTTACAGGTTTCCCTTTTCATGTTTCTTTTTTCTGTTTGTATTTTTTTTGTTTTTGTATGACTTAATCTCTCTGTGTTCCGGTTTTAGATTAGCTTGTACGATCTGATCTGAGAATCAGAGGATGAGGATTTTGATTGTAGGCCTTTTATGACAATTATTCCTAGGTGGTAGTGCAGAAAATAGGTAAATTTGCATGTTTCAAGACTTTAAGTTACTTCAAGAAGAGGCATCTAATACAGTGATGTTTGTAATGCATCCGGAGCTCTTAGAATGAGGATATTTTGTAAATAGGTTGAAAGGATTATAATATCCTAAGTTAGTGTAGTAATAATATAGTAGGATCCTTATGTTGATGTTGACTTTTATTTGGACTCTTATTTGTGTGGTGTTTTTTCACTTTTTGGAGCAGAGGCGTGTAGTAGGAGCAGTGATAAGCTAAGTTTTGTTACGGTCTGCAGTGATGAATCAGCATAAGGGGACAGATCTTGTTTTCAGCATGACACTTGCGTACGTGCAGTATGAGAAGTTAAAGCTTGCCATGATCATCTCTTTTCATTTTGAGTTTTGTTTGCTTGTGTCGTTTTTGTTTCTGTTTTTTTGTAGCAGAATTTTCCACTAAGGATGGTTCTTGCTAATGAATAGTTGATTCCAACGGACTGGGGCCTCTGGGTGGGGAGTGCGCTGCAGGGTGACCCTCAGCAGACTCCCCATCCTCAAAAATCATGGGAGCCTCAGCTTTTGGGAAGACATTTTACCCTCTTGTTGGTTACAGGGGCCAATGAGATTCTCTGTTGAGCTGCCCTTGAGAAGTACACAAGGGCACTGCGTGTGGTGCTCCTTAGGTGAGATTTTCCTTTCTCTGTTGTTTACCAGTCTCTTATCAGATTACGTCTCCTAACCCAAAACAGATGCTCTGTTGTTTTCTAAATAGGCAGTACGTCTGCCAGTCAGGTGTCCTGACTTGTTTTGTTTCCTTCAGCCTTGAAGGCTCCTCCCTCCATAACACTGACATCATCCATTCATGGTTGTTTGGCCTGGATGCCACCTGGTCCCTGAAGCCTCTGCACGCTCTCTCTGCTGCACCCCGAGGACACAGGACTTCCTCTCTCTTTGCCAGCCTTGCTTGATTCTCCCTGGGAGTTAGTGATTTGTATCCGTCTCTGTGCCCCTCACGGGAAGGAGGCATTGTACCCCTCTGAATGCACAGTGACCACATATTGTTTATCTTTTATGCATAATACTTATTACTCATTTTTGTTTGTGTGTGTGTGGGGGGGTACCCAGCCCGGGGCCAACCCCTCAGTACAGATTAAACAAAGCTTTTAAAAGTTGTTTGTACTTACATTACATGACTCCAAGTTTGTTAACCTGGCCACCTCATACCAATTAGAAGCTCTGATTGGTGGGGTTAAGTTTTAGGCAGTCTTGCAGTAACAGAGGTTCTCACTGAAAAGATTGGGAACTATTTTGTTCGGTGCTCAGTGAAGATATTTTGCATTCATGTAAGAACCAATTACTGCCATTTATTTATTCAAAAGTTTTCTGTCAAATAAATAGCCATTTTTCAGTCTTACCTGTTTGTAAATATCTTTTTCCTTTCAATGACCTCTTAATTATTGATGCACATAGAAAACCCTCAGAGCTGCTGTCTCCTTCGGTGAAACAGTGAGAAACCGTCGGCTGGAATCCCCCTTACTTCCCACTCCCAGAGTGACAGCCTACCCGCCTCTTCAGGGTGCTCTTTTGTCCTTGCTGTTCGTCTCCCCAAGCGCCTACCTTGTGCAGGACCAGCCTTTCCACCAGTGCCGGGGTCCCAGGCTATTTGCCTTCTTTGGGCGTACTCCTTGGGTGGTGTCCTTGCCCTGCATCGCCTGTCTACCGGATCGTTCCCTCCAGCTCACAGAGTTCTTCTCCCAACTTAAGCATTTTCCTCGGTGCTTGAGCGGCTGCCCTATCTCCCGGCCCCTCGTTTACCATCTCCAGCGTGTCTCCTCTCCCTTCCTTCTCCCCCAGGCTGCCCCCAACACTACCATCACTGTGCTGTGATAGTTTACTAGCCACTTTGCTGGTGCTAAATTGAATGGATACTTCGTCTTCTTTACTTGAATTCATTCTCTTTGATTCATCTTTCCTTTTTTACCCAGCTTCTCAATGTTGACATTTCTGAGTGTTTGGTCTCGGGCCCCTGGAGGCCATAGTGGAGTGCTGCTCAGTTCTACCTTCAAGAGAGTCGCTATGGGGGGAGTACAGTTACCAAAGCTCCGCCTTCAGGGCTCCACTGCAGGGTTCCCAGAGATCTCCAGTTGATGTCCTGTAATTTTAAATGTGTCTTGGGATATAGCTCCTGGAGGACCTGACTGACATGGATGTTAGTGGACATGGTCTGAGAGAGCCGGCAGTAGGATGGGGTTTGGGGACTGGCTCATGTACTATCCGACTGGCAAAAAAGACCCATGGTGGTACGCTTACCAGTGGCCCAGGTGCTGAAGATTCCACCAGTGGTGCCTCAGGGAAACCTCCCAGTGGAAGGAAACATTGCCAGCACAAGGATCAGACACTGGAAGGTAAGAGGAAACACTATACAAGAACAGTGGAGTTGGCTGGTTATCCCCTCACCATCTTGACTCCCCCTGGAGGAATAATGCCAAACCACCTGTACTTAACAAATAGTCAACAGCCACCCTGAGTGGCTGGGGCATCTTTGATGATCTCCTGCTGAGGGACGACAGACAGTTGAGCTAGTAGGAGGTAGTAGATCAAAAATAATATTGCAGGGCAGGCGCTTGGGTGGCTCAGTCAGTTAAGAGGCCGACTCCTCTGATTTTGGCTCAGGTCATGATTTCAGGGTCATGAGATTGAGCCCCATGTCAGGTTCCACACTCAGTGGGAACTCAGTGGGGGGGTCTGCTGGAGATTGTCTCTCCCTCTCCCCCCCTCCTCTTTCTCCCCCTGCTCACATGTGCATGCTGTCTCTCAAATAAATATTCAAAATAATAACAATAATATTGAACCCCCAAGGTGATGGTGGAGATTAGTGCTACCCTAAGAAATCTAAAGGGTGCAGGGAGAATGGTCCCTAACAAAAAACCATTTAATTTCCCAAACTTACCCTTGCAGAATCCAGATGGATCCTGGAGAATGAGTATAGAGACCAAGTAACCTCAAGTGCAACTACTGTGTTGGATGTTACATGATGCTAGAGGAGCTGATAAGGGCTGAAGTACAAGATAGCAGCCATTTCTTAGGCGAGTTCATTCTTTCCCACCCTAATTAAGAAACACTTTACAGGGGCACCTGGGTGGCTCAGTCGTTAAGCGTCTGCCTTCGGCTCAGGTCATGATCCCGGGGTCCTGGGATCGAGCCCCGCATCGGGCTCCCTGCTCCGCGGGAAGTCTGCTTCTCCCTCTCCCACTCTCCCTGCTTGTGTTCCCCCTCTGGCTGTCTCTCTCTCTGTCAAATAAATAAAATCTTAAAAAAACAAAACAAAACAAAAAACACTTTACAGCACAGCAGTCTTCCTTTCCAGTTTCACTCCAGCAATGTTAGCCCTTTCTCCTGTCATGATAGGGCCTGTCAAGATTTATCACCAAATCTTGCGGTTTCTTCCTCCTGACTCAATCCTGAATCAACTCCTTTCTCTTTATCTCCGCTGTTCTCCCCAGGACATCACCGTCACATCTGGACCACTTGCTCTTGAGAGATTGATGGAATCAGATTATGTACACAAAAACCGGAAGAAAGTTTCATCTCTCAAATGAGTTTCTTTGTCAGTATTACCTAGGGTATGGAGAGGTAGGATTTTAGTCACAGCTAGCGAAGGTGTAAACTTGATAGAAACTTTCTGGATGATAATCTCGTTATGTCAGAAAGCTTAAGCGTGTATCCTTTGACGCTTTACTCCACTCCACTCAAGGAATATGTCCTAAAGAAATAAATGGTAGAAGCATGCACAGATTTAGTTAAGAAAGATGTAATCATTGCAGGGTAGAATCTTGAAATTTAACCATCTTTCACTCAACTGCACCAAGAAAGAAATCAAACAGATGTAAAGTCTCAATAAAATTCTGTCCCTGCAGCTGGTGTCCTGCTGAGTTAAAGGACAGTCATCCAAAGTGCAGCTACTTTGCCAGTCATCAGGAGTTGCAGTGTTGAAAAAAGGTTTTAGTAAACAGAACTATCTGTACATAATTTTTAAAACACAAAATGCAGGCATAATCCTACAATGCTCACCTTAAGTAGGAAACAAGATAACTAAAAAAAAAAATGTGGTACTTGGGCCGCTGGGTGGCTCAGTCGCTTAAGCATCTCCCTTCAGCTCAGGTCATGAACTCGGTCCTGGGATTGAACCCTGAGTTGGGCTCCTTGCTCAGCGGGGAGCCTGCCTCTCCCTCTCTCTCTGCCCCGCCCCCCACTTGTGCTCTCTCACGCTCTCTTCCTCTCTCAAATAAATAAAAATCTTTTTTCTTAAAGTGTGATACTGAAAATAACATGGCATGTTACATTGTCTGGTAACGTATTGTCATTTAAGAAATTATCTTATTATAGGGCCATGTGTTTTGATTAGATAGTGATTTTAATTGTGAGTTGTAATTGCATTTCTCTCAAAATGATGTACGGAAGCAGCTACTTTTTATTTGAAGATCTAATTGAGGTTAATGTGAACTTCTGTTTCCAAGCCCCATCTTCGTTCTGATTTCACCATTCTTCCGGAAAACAATACAAGTCACAGCCATTTTTTATTGCCCAGTTGTTTAAAGTTTTATTCAAAGAGCAGGGTTTGACAGCGCATAGAATCAGCAACTGTTTATGGCCACCTGGGGGCCAGCACCAAAGGACTGAGAACATATTTTGCCCAAGTTGTATTGAGTCTTGTCAAAACACACGGCTCTGTCAGGAGGTCAGACAATTCAGTGTGGACTGACAGGTCAGCAGTGTGAATGGCCAGTCCCGATTCCCTTTAATGTACTGAGCATCCATGCAATGGGGAAGCAGTGCACCATGAGGCAAAGGGCCCCAGCCCAAAGACTATGGGTTCAGTAGATCTTTGACTTCATAGAATACTCTAGAAACCTTGACAAGTGACCAAACTGAAACTACAATCATTGAAACTGAGATGTATGATGGAGCGAGGCTCAGTTATTCACAGAAAAATTCTGGCAGTGGTTAATTCCAATTCATGATTGGTATCATTACTCGTAATATTTTGCTTAATTCTTGCAAAGCCCCTTTTGAGGTAGGTGTTATCCCCTCTATAGTCTGCTTCATGTTCTGGAGCTATGAAGTCAAAGCATTCAATCCAAGTATGCCAAGGTTTCCTATAGTCCACTCCTAGTTTTGCCTCATTTTTTTAATTGGCTTTCATGAGTATTTTGAACTTTGTTTTACTCTTCTTCCTACTGAGGTTGAATGTGCATTTTGGAATTAAGTCATTTACATAGAAACACTTTTCAAGTGGAGATGACTAGCATTCTAAGGAAAAATGAACCACTTTTAGAATAGACCATGGAAATCACAAAGCCTGGTATTCAGTAAAGTGGAATGAAATCTTCTGGATACTAGAAATACAATGTGAAGGTTATCAGCAACATTAATAACATTTTCCTATGGGTACCTTTTGATAACACCGTTTTTTTGTTTTTTGTTTTTTTTGTTTTTTAACCTTAATGGCAAGAATTTTTTTTTTTTTGAGCACTGGTGTCACAATGAAATAGTATGAAATGTTAAGGCCAAAATTTGTTTTGGCTATTATATATAAATTAGATCACAAGCAAGTTACTTGGTTGGTTGGTTGTTTAGTTCATTCCTTCAATCAGTTGCTTTAAAAGAAATGTTTTTCAAATGTCCTCTTTGTGATGGATCCCAAGAATCAGTTTAGAAAGAAAAATACTTGGTAAACCATTCCTGGTGGGCAGAGCCCTGTTTCTGTTGGACTTCTTTGGGTTGGGCTGTTTCACCATCTTGTGTCCTAAAAACAAGCCAACAGATAAAAGGTTTCTTAGAAGGTTTTGAAAATTATTCAGCAAACAACTTAATAACCTGCTACCTTTCAGGGAAAGAAAGCTGCTTCTTTACTCTTGGAAAGACAGTACAATGTAACTGGCCAAAATTCATAGCTAGAAACAAGTTGTGAAAGATGGGGATGGGGAGAGAACATCTGATTCCCATTTTGAAAACAAGGTCTCCAATTTTACTTAAAACCTAATGAGGCATATCGTGTAATTTTATTTCAGGCACAAATAAAAAATAAACCTCATAAAAAAGTTAAGGAATGAAATAGTTAATCATCAAAGCCTTACAATGTCTGGCTTCTTTAAAAGCTATCTAATGTGTTCTAGCATCTTAATAAGACAGTGGAATTAGCATAATAAATTGAAAAGAGGAAACAGTAAGCAAGAAAGTACGATGTATACCCGCCTGAATGAACGGTTTCTCTTTGATTAGTGAAGCTTCATATAAATGGGAACCTAGCTTTACACACAGGTGTGTGCTACTGAGGTGAAGCTAGAGTCAGGAGCTGGCTCTAGCAGTTAGGGCTGGGCTCAGGGCTCCAGGTCTCAGTTTCCACAGCCGTGA